GTCATGCAGTCTCAGCCAAAATGACCTCACAGGGTTGTTGTGAGGATAAAATGGAGGAGAGGAGAATAACGTAAGCTGCTGTGGGCCTCCACTGGGAAGAAAGGAAGGATATAAATGAAGTAAATACAATAAATAAATGACTTAAGAAATATCTCCATCTTTAGTCGCATGTCCACTCCTTACCCCTCCCCGAAATATGTAAACCTTATTGCCTTTGTTTTTGTTGCCCGCTCTGAGCATTGGTAGGCTCTATTGGTCTTTTACATATCCATAAGGAAGTAATAAACCACCACCTCTTCACCCAGTCTGTACTAGCAAGTAAATAAACACTGAGTCCTACCTTGCTGGGTAGAAAAGATTAATGATAATTTTGTACCTTCATTTTAAGTAGACTGAACTTTTGAAGCAGATGAGCAAAATAGCCTGCCATAAAAGATAATTTCATTTGCGAAAATGAAACTACCTTCCAGTATTAATGCTATAATGAAATAGCTTGAAATATGAATCAGAGACATTAAGGGACGGGACGTGCCCCTCCCCCTCCCTTCACCGTAATCTGGAGTTAGCTCTATAAACAATGTCTCCTAAGTAAAAAAAGGAGTTTATTATTTTATTTTCAACATTGGCAGGCTAAGCTGTGTTGCTGTCATCCTCCGCAGTCTTCCCCTCCAGTGACAACCCCATTGACAACATGTTATATTCCACATTGATTTTACAGTTAAGGAGTTGGTTGTGATATATAGAGATTTTAAGAATTCAGCTGAGAGGCTGACTTTTGCCTTTTATCATTCCATTAAAATTTTATAACCATCTTTTTCATGTCATTTCACCCATGAATTCTTACTTTAGAAAGTGATAGCTACTGCTGTGAGCATAACTTTGCTCATGTTCAGAGCTTTTTATTGTATTAGCAAACTACCCCAATTAGAGTTAGGAGCTGTGCTTTACATAATTGTAGTGACCCTTTCAGCCAAGCAGGACAATGTTAGTTGATTTGTATGTGTATATACATATGTACAATTAGATGCTTCTTCTTGTCCCTTTAAATGGGCACTGTTCTGCAAGAATCGTGGGGGCCATGATTTAATACTTCTCCATTTTGAAGGGCCAATTAAACAGCTCTCCAAAGGCATCTTTGAACTGAGTAGGTTTTAAAAGTCTATTTCTTAAAGGGACTGCAGAAAGAGTATGTAGAAAGACATCTGGTTTTTAAAAATGTGAGGTGGGGTGGGGTTAGGAAATACAAGTTAAGCATCTCCTTTCATATGTTAGACCGCGTAATGTTACAAGGGCTACGTCTCAACTCTGCAGGGGTTTGTAACACTAGTTCATCTCATTATCCCAAATGTTTCACCTATGCCAGCAATGCACTTGGTACAGATGAAAGGCTTATTCCTCTTATCACAGGAGAGAACAAACGGCTTATTTTCCTCCTGCAAGATACTCAGAGTCTGATGGGTCAGATACAGGTATAATTAGAAAAACTGCTGACCAGCCTTATAAAAACGTATCTTCAAAAAGCTTCCATTTTATTTGTCCAAAAGGCAGTATCATCTGATATTCCTTAAACCTGAACAAGAGATTTTTCCCTTTGTAGGTGTAATCATTATCTTTAAAATACCTTTAAAAATTCAAAGATGCTAAAATATCTATTGCTTTGCCTACATTTTACGAATTCATGGGAGGCCCCTTTCCTCCTAAAGTAGAATATAAGTATTCAAAGTTTGTTTTTAATTATCTGAGTACTATGACAGGTTAAAGCACAATTTCAGACAGTATCTGTATTCTGTAATTCATCTGTAATAACCTGAAAGGAAACTAAAATAAACTGTCACATTTTCAAAATGAAGCTTTAAGGCACCTTATTTCTACAGAATGGAATTAACATCACTGCATGTACAAATGTAGCAGCAAAAATAAAAATGAGAATAATATTAGACAGCTTGTTACAACTTCATAATTTGTCTTTTGTGCTAAATATTTGTACTTTTGGGGAGGGGACAAAGATCCAGAATTACTTTTTGATCTTTATATCATATTGAGCAGCATTGTGTTTCAATTTTTGGCTGGCAGTAAATTGCTTAAATCATTTCACATGGGATAGTTCCTGTTTTAATATGGTACAGAATTTAACACAAAGTCATGGATATGGTTGAATTTAAAAATGTGAAACCTTTTGGTTCCTTGAAACGTTAAAAAAGCCCTCAAAACCCCCCAAAGCTGTTTTAAACAATTACTATACCCAAGTATATATTTTTTTAAAGATTTTCAATAAAATCTAATGTTCATAGAAAATCTCATAAATGTCAAAATTGCTGTGGGCAGAATAGAGGGAGATAGTATTTTCTTGATCTGCTGTAGCAATTTATAGATTTCAGGACGTGGTTTATAAGAATGCTAAATGTTCTGGAATTACAGCTGTTACTGATCAGTGATTGAGCCAGATTTGTGTTATTGCACCATGTTCTTGCTTGTACCTAGAGAGCAGTAAAGCCTCAATATAATAAAAAGCACCTGCATTTTAAATGAAATTTCAATTGAAAAACTTAACAGCCCTTCAAATTGCAGAATTTAACGCAGCCCAGTAAAGCTTAAATAACACTTTGCCTCCACAGGCTGAGGGTTTTTGCATTCAAGGTGACTTGATTGTGTCGCCTGGCGAAATTATTTACAATTAAGGGATTTCTCTGGAGGGGGCTGCTGAGTATTTGCTGTTCTACGATACCTATGCAGGCATATGGTCGGTCTTTTTCAGTATTCATGGAGGCTCCTGAACCTTTATGATAATTGAATCAGTTAGAGTGCTGAGTGGAGCAAGCATAAAACCTGTTAACCTAAAGGTCAGATCTGTGCATTGTTTATTTATCAGTAGGTGAAAGAGCTAAATCGGCAGCTTCTGTCACAGTCACAGTAAAAAATCACCTGTAATATTAACAGGGAGTAGATAAATTGCAAAAAATGGATTAGAATGATAAACAGAACAGAGCAAAATATTGCATATATAATGAGAGGTGCAGCAGTGGATTTTACTGGGCTGTAAAAGATGGAGCCTTCTTACGACAGCCCCGGGAGGGGAAAGTAATTAGGACCATTCTCAGGAAAATGGCAACTAAAAACTAGAACCATGGTTCTAAGTGTATGTTCCAGCTTGGTAATTTATTTTACAAGGAACTCATTTTCAGTACAGTCTCCCTCCACTAGCACTGATGCTTTTCAGAGTCGTGTTTTGAGTAGTGTGTAGAGTAGATGGGTGGGAGAGCCCATTCGCTGACTGGCTTCTGTGAAGCTTACTTGGAGCAAGTGACTGACTCTTAGCCAAGGGTGAATGATTGTTCCTCAGGTACCTTATTTTAATACTCATTTATACTTTTGTCAATAATTGTGGTTCTCTACTTTGTGCTGCTTGTTTTGTCTGTTTGCTTGTACTGTGTATAGATGCTCTGTGTTTGTGACTCCAGCACCAAGGTGAAGGGCCAAGGTGAGCACCCAGGTCGAATGTTCTGCTAAACCCCACAAATTCTAGTCTAATTTAATGTTTTTCCCAGCTGAAATAATACACATATGCACATTTTCCAGAAAGAGTAGAATAAAATTGGGCACAACTTTATTGCTTGCAGCTGTAGTAGGTCTTGGCACAGCATGGGGTAACGATCCTGCTCATCAACTGATCTGCACATCAGTCGATGCTCCGTCTGTCACCTTGGGATGGCAGGTTTTGGATCCCACTAGGATGAGGGTAATTCCACAGACATGCCCCTGGGCTGGGCGTATCAGTCGCCCCTCATGCCAAGACCCCTTAAAGGGATCCCCACACTCAGGAAATGGGCAGGCATTTTTCCTGAGAATGGATCCAGTCCCATGCTGACACCACCAAGTTGCGTCAAGAAATCAAGTATTCAGAACCGCATGCAACCCCTGCAAAATACTTAAATAAAGGGCTGGGAGGGTGGGCCAAGCTGTCGAATGGCTAAAGATGGTGAGCCAAGGTCGCGTGGTGCCCTAAATAGCCATCAGACACCCCTGCCCCCCGAGTCTCCGCCAAGACAGCTCATAGGGTCAGCACTGGATCAGGCAGGCTCCCGTTTCCCGTGCTTGACTCAGGCCTGCCCCCTCTGCCTGACAAAGGAGGGGAGGGGGATCCATGGCTGCTTCCTGCTCTCACCCTTCCCCATGGCTCTGCAAACAGGACCTGGGCAGGTCCGGGTCCTGGCTTTTAGTGCACAATCTGTACTGTAAGCATTGATACAATATACATCATTTATATGCATAAGATACCCATACACATGGTACATAATGCTGCTGTATCGATGTACAAATAACAGTGAAAAATATACACATGTTATGGGGAGAATTTAGCATGAGAATTTTTTTTAAAGCTGTGAAAAATGAAGAAAAAGTATGACAGTGCAGCCTGAAGCAGAGTTATGTACTTCAAAGCCCACTGTCTTCAGTGGACTCAAAAGGATGTAACTTTACTTAGGGTTGCCCTGCCATTCACACAAGGGAGAAGCAGGGATTGTGGGGTCAAAACAGGAGGGATTAGATGTTTGACATTACCCCATTTTAGCCTATCCTGCTTCACAGGATTATTGTGAGGTTAAAACGGAGTGGCCCCTGACCTTTTTGGAGGAAAAGTAGAATACAAGTGTGATTAATAATATATATATATAAATTTAATACAAATGTATATGGAGGTTTGATAGTGGGGGTGTTAGCTTGCTGAAGTAGAATAAGAAAGTCCCCCTCTTGTTATCATGTGACAGCAGATCAATATACCCAACTCGGCATAGCACATCAATATGCCCGGATACATTCACTACACTAGGAAAGGAAGCCCTTGTGGGAGTATACCTTTCTGTTAATTCAAAGGGAAAGAAGCACTTGTAAGTGGAAGAGCTTCACATGTTCATTGGAAACCATGCAACAAAAGGGGATGACACCACTAGAGCATCAGCTTCTTTTTATTAATCAATTGCTTTTCCCTTCTTTATATGTTACAGAGCCAGGTCCTATGGACCCACCACTCATGTTGGATGTTAAACCCAGAACTGCAACAATATCCTGGCAGAATCCATCAAAGCCAAATGGCATTATAACCCACTACAATATTTTGATAAATGGCCAACTGCATACTACCATTCCAGGCAACAGATCCAAATGGACTGTACAGAATTTGCATCCTTACACAGTGTACCAGTTTCAAGTAGAAGGCTGCACCATAAAAGGATGTTCCGTTTCTCCTGAGAGCCCACCCATACAGACTCTTCCAGATGCACCTGAAGGCCTCCTTGCTCCAGTGCTATATTCTGACACACCAACATCTGTCCTGGTATCATGGCAGCCTCCGCTTCATCCAAATGGATTGGTGGAAAACTATACAATAGAGAGAAGAGTGAAAGGAACAGAACAAATATCCACTGTTGCCTCCTTGTCCTTCAACCATTCTACAAGATACCTTGACCAAAGTCCCGCTCTTAGCCCTTGGAAGAAATATGAGTACAGAATATTGGCAGGTACTCTTAAAGGGGGTGTTAACAGCAGTGCTTGGACAGAAGTTACCACCAAGCCCTCAAGACCTGCAGGTGTTCAACCTCCTGAGGTGAAAGCATTAGGACCAGATACTGCACAGGTTTGCTTGGCTTTGTTTTAATTCATGCTAGTTTGCATCTTCCCTGAAATTACTAGTTTTTAATGAGGGCATATTCAAGGCCAAGCTAAAGATTTCACTGTTCTGTAGATATTGCCTCCTGAGGACGATGCCAGTTTCGACTGTAGTTGAGGGGAGGTACAATTTGTGAATGTTCCCCTCAAAAGATTATGCAAAGAAAAACAAAAGCTTAGGGTGTCACAAACAGAGAGAGAGACCGTCTCTGGAACTAGTTTCAGAGAGTAGCCACGTTTGCCTGCAGTAGAAGAGCTAGATTCCAGTCTAGTAGCACCTTAGCGACCAACAAGTTTTTGGGGGTATAAGTTTTTGACAGTCTGACAAAGGGAACTTTAACTCTCAAAAGCTTATAACCTGAAAATCGTGGTGGGCAGCTGTGTTAGTCTGAAGCAGTAGAACAACGTTTAAGTCCAGTGGGGCACCTTTAAGACCAATAAAGTTTTTATTCAAGGTATGAGCTTTCATGTGCATGCACACTTCCTCAAGTACATCAAAATGGAAGGTAACAGTTCATTGATATACGTAGAGGGTGAACATCAAATCAGCACTCAAACACAATGATGATGTTTTAACAGATGCAAAAACTAAACAGGAATAATAAGTTTACATGTGGAATGCTTGTTTGAATTCGATTATGGGGGGAAAACAGTAAATTTGTCAAAATGGAGTACTGATTGTGTAAAAGTATCCTTCTTAATTGTGGAATGCTAAGAACAATCAACCAAGACAATACCGCCATGCTCCACTCATCTCCTCCCAAGCATGGAGGTAATTAACAACATCCTTTTCTTTGAAAATCATTTTGGTTTTAAGGACTGGAATCTAGCTTTCTGAAGCTATTTCTTGCATGAGGGGAGCATGCAACCTGAAGTATTTTATCATTTTAGCTTGCTGTCATCTAATCCTTATATCATTCTCCTATGTGTGCAGACCTGGTCTCAGACTGACACCGTACCCTGGCTTGTACCCTGTCTGTTTTTTGTTTAATGTTTAGTTATATGTTGATTGTCAAAATGGTGCCCCAAACATTCTTCTGTTTCCCATGGTTCACAGATACCCCCCTTCCATAACATGGGCTGGTTAGTGATTGCCTCAGACAATTGTACCAATCTGACATCATAAAGATCCCTTCCCCACTCACCCTCATGAGACCCCAGACGTGCTTGCAGGCTCATTCAAGGGCCACGTTCAGACTGGCAGTTTGACCTGGCAGGCAAATGTTTGAGGAGCATTTCAGTAGCGGATTAAAGGGGTGGGTTCACACAGGCACATGTTTCAGGTGTCCCCCAGCCGTACTCAAGCCGTCTTGTGCCGCTTCCCTCCCGAGTTTAAAAGATACCATGTTAAAGTGGTAGCAAACCATGTATACAGTGTGTTGATTCCAGTTCCCTGAGTGTGAATGCAAGCTCTGCTAAGGCGGGAACAACCCGCAATTGATAATAGGTGCCAGCTGGTTCCGTGGCAGGTGCATGTGGAAGTGTGGAGTCGATCCTGCCCTATTTGCTGATGTGCCTATGTGCATAGGCACATGCAACCGAGTACGGAAACCACACTAACAGCCCGCCAGGGGTGGCCGACAGTGCGAATGCTCCTTTGTGCTTCCTCCATGGTATCCTCCCGCTTCATTCACTGCAGTGTGAACGGGAATACTGGGAAAAAGCTGTTCCAGGTCTATTCCATTTTTTCTTTGCCTAGCGCTTCAAATTGCCAGTCTGAACTCGGCCAAGATATATCCCCTATGGTATCTCCTGTCAATCAAGAGTATATTTAGGCCCAGTTTAGACCCAGGCAATTTTGGATGTACTACAGACTTTAGGGATTTAATTAGGAAAGAATGTCTGGCTAGAATCAGGGTGGAATTTAGTCAGAGAAAATACCATAGATTATTATCCTACATTATGTCTCAAGGCCCTCTTCAGGAGCAACTTCAGTTCCTAATAGTTGCAAGCCATATAAAACCTCTGGATTGGCTAGACATAGCATAAATATTAGAAACGTGTCCCTTCATCCTTTGCCTCCTCAGCCTTCTACCTGTTATACTTCTAGCTTGATCTTTATTTACTTCATTTATACTTTGCCTTTCTCTCCAGTAGGAATTCCAAGCAACTTTACATGGATCTCCTGTCCTCCATTTTATCCACAAAATAACCCTGTGATATAGGTTATGTTGAGCTTGTGTGTCAGGCCCAGTGCCAGTCAGCAGGCTTCCAGAGAGGTTCAAACCTGGAACTCCCAAATCCTACCCAGCATTCTAGCCACTGCATCATACTTTAGCATTCCCCAGTGTTTGGGTTTTCCCTGAGCCAGAAAATGCACTCATGGTCTAGATTCAGAGGTGGCCCTCTTTGGTCTACTAGGAATATCTACAAGTCCATCATATACAGCAGCCTTTCCCAAATTTCTAAAGCTGCATCTCCTAGGGTTGCCAGGTCTGGGTTGGAAAATACCTGGAGACTTTGGGGGTGGAGCCTGGAGAGGGTGTAGTTTGGGGAGGAGAGAGGCCTCAGCATGGTACAATGCCATAGAGTCCACCCTTCAAAGCAGCCATTTTCTCCAGGGGAGCTGATCTCTGTCACCTGGAGATCAGTTGTAAAAGCAGTAGATTCCCCAGGCCCCACCTGGAGGCTGGCAACCCTAGCTTCTCGACTACCAATAGCTTAAGACCTGTAGCAACTAGTTTGTACTGCCAAATCAATGCAAGTAAAGCGTAAATTCTCCTTGCCCATTTCTAATATTTTTCTCTGTGTTATTCTGAAATGTTTCCAGTTCTCTCATACACCTGAAATACTCTTCTAGACTTTATTAAAATGCAAATAGTTATGAGCTATAAATGTTGTATGTTTTCATATGAACATCAAAATATCTGTTTTGTTGTGGTCTCTGATGAAGCTGAAATCAATGCATAAATTGACTGAGTAAGGGGGAAAAAACAGTCTTAGAGGACTACCCAGGAAATTTTCAATTATTCACATCATTCATTTGGGAATGAACTCCAGAGGACAGGATAACTACCATTGTTTTGGCTGGCATACAAACTTCATTCAAGGGAAATTAGTGTAACCAAACAAGAGGGATTTTTGTAGCTTAGAAGCCTCTTTTGTGTAAACACGCACATGGTTCCATGGATTCAGTCTTGTACTAATGCCAAAAGGCACTGGTACAGTAGCTTGCTCGCTAGAGCACAAAACAAAGGACATTTGCATAAGGCTGGAGATCATCCACAAAAATTATTGTTGCTATTATTGATATGGTTATTTCACTTGCCTACTTGGACGTCTGGATGCTCAGCCTGTATGCAGTAATCTGTGGATATGGATGTAAAACAAACTGAATGATAATATTTGGAGCCATAATCTGAAATACTCACAAGGCAATATAAAGTTGAAAGGGTGGAAATGGTGCAGGTTCTATGAATTATAAATTACACCCACATAAAGGCCCAAATGAGCAAAACCTATATCTGCAATGTATCATATTTAATAATTACATCATATTTATATCATATTTAATCATTATAGGTCAGAGTTCATGATGATGTATGAGCAGAATATTTACTTGATAAGGGAGGAGACTCAGGATATAGCAGAACTGTTAGCTGTCACATTTCCTGCAAAATTAGGAAAGTCAATATACAGGACCGAAAACCATAATCACTGCAGTTATATATCAGCATATGTGTGCATGTCCATCACCGAGCTGGCTACATGACCACATTTTTACTACCTGTTAGAGGGCTGAAGGATGATTACAATTATCTGATTTGAGAATAAGTTAATTACATGAAAGAGGTTCTTTTAAATAAGGAAGAACAATATTAGAACAATGTGATTTGGTGTTACTCAGAAAAAGTACAATAGTATTTTATTTAGTTGCTGTAGATTTTCCGGGATGTGTGGCCGTGGTCTTGGCATTGTAGAACCTGACGTTTCGCCAGTAACTGTGACTGGCATCCTCAGAGGTATAAACACAGAAAGATGGAATACTCTCTGTGTCAAGGTGAGAAGAAAATGGTAGGCAGTAAATTATTTTATTTATTTATTTTTTCTTATCTTTGTACTTTTAGAAGTGTGGATATTGAGTGCTATGTGGAGTCAGGTTTTTAAAAAAACTGCTTGAAAACATAGTCTTCCCTTCCATTTATTGCTAGTTATGAATGAAAATAGTCTGGGGTGAAAGAAACCAAGTACTTGAAGTACTTCCAATTTTTTAAATGTGTGTTTTAGTCTCACAAAGAAGAAGAGGAAGAGAAGAAGAGATTGGATGTATACCCCACCCTTCACTCAGAGTCTCAGAGTGGCTTACAAACTCCTTTCCCTTCCCCTCCCCACAACAGACACCCTGTGAGGTAGGTGGGGTTGAACTGTCTTTTCAAGGACAGTTCTTGTCAGAACTATGGCTTGCCCAAGGTCATCCAGCAGTTGCAAGTGGAGGAGTGGGGAATCAAACCCGGTTCTCCCAGATTAGAGCCCACGCACTTAACCACTACACCAAGTAAAATACAGAACTGAGTTTCTGTGCATGGTTTAGCCTTGTGGACCTGCATGCAGAGAATGGAGGTATGCAAAGAACTATATACAGCAGCTATGGAGATCTGTATATAGAATTTCTGTACTGAGCAGTGGGCAGCCTTCCTGCTTAGCTTTGGCTGCGTTCACACGAGCAATTTGCTGCAATATAGTTGCATTACCTTTGAGGATATAAAGAGCATGATCATACAGCAACATCTGCCTTAAGTGCCTCGGTTGTTGGCACCCTGAGTTGCTCTGCTTTGGAAGCGGAGTAATCAGGCACAGGGGAACGTCCAGTGTTTACGGATGCCAGCATCTCCACGTCGCTTTCCGTGCATCTGATCTCTCCCACCGTGAAAGAAACCTGGAAAGGAAGTATGAACCCGCAGTTCTGTTTCCTCCACTTGGTTTTTTTTGGTGTTGCTGCCTATATGTGCACATAAATGCTCCCTCTAA